TCGGAGGGGGAGATGAACCATGAGACGATGGACTCTGAAAAACAAACTGAGGGTTCTAGAGGGGAGGGGTGTGGGTGGATGGGTTAGCCTGGTGGTGGGTATTAAAGAGGGCACGTTCTGCGTAGAGCACTGGGTGTTATGCACAAACAATGAATCATGGAACACTACATCAAAAACTAATGATGTAATGTATGGTGATTAACATAACAATAAAGAATTTAAAGAAAAAAAAAACCCAAAAAAACTCAAGTTAAAAACAGATTAATGACTAAGGAATACCAATACTACTTATTAAGGATTGTAACATATTTACAGAAATTTCATTACAAACTCTGACTTAGACAGCAGATAATAATATCATAGGGGCATGAGGTACAAAGGGCAAAAGTGTAAGACTTTTAAGAAAATACCTTTGTTAAATTAACCTACTGGAGTTTCTTCTTGATAATCTTAAAAAGGAAGTGTAGCTTTACTAAAATGTGTAAAAATTACTTGCATAGAAGTGATTTGACATTTCTAAAAAAATAAGAAAGAATAAACCAGACAAAGAAATTCAAGTGGAAGTGGGAAGAAGTAGTCCTACGTGGCTTATTTATATATTCTGGTCAACCAACTTAAATAATCAGATGTTGCAAACTGAATGGCAAGACTGCAAAGAAACACAAAAATTAGCCTCTGTCCATTTACTTGGATACAATGGACTCACTTAAGTACATTAAAGAAATAAAGAACTAACTTCTTTGTACATACTGGGCTATAATATTTTCACCTTCAACTTGCCTACAGTTTCTAGATCATTTAATTCATCCTTAGTTTCTAAGAAATTACTAGTATAGGGAAAGCCCAAAGGCTGCAGGTTAACTTGAACATTTAGACATATCTGAACTTCTTATGAAAATTTATTTTCAGAAGCTTGGTAAGTGCTCTACGCTCAAAAGGAAAAGTCAAACTACCCTCACAGTCTTTAGAAGCTGGGATGTTTTGTGAGGTTTTTTTTTTTTTTTTAAACTTTAATCAGGAGAGCGTGGTGTGGCTGGATCTCTATCACTTGAAAATAGGTATCCAATGCAGTCAGAGTGACTGCAGTCTCTCATTTTCATGTTAGGTAAAAGTTCTAAAAGTTTTCATAAAACATGCTCAAAAACACCAAGAACACTGTTGCCATAATGTATTAAATATGGTTATTTTTTGGTTACTGAAACAGTTTGTTCTCATTGTTCCAGGTACTTTTTATATATATAATCTGTCATTGAGTATAAACTCCTTGGGGCAATGACTGTATTGTCAACTAGTATATAAAATTTTACTTTTTTAGAGAATGGAACTGAAAACTTTCCTGGCAGATGTAACAATGAACAAAAACCGGAAAGACCTGGGATGTGTGTTTGCATCCTATGACTGGCAACAGGAAAGCCTGGAAAGAAAAGGAGATTAGGAAACAGAGGACCTGTGTTCTGGAACTGGGTCTGCCACTTAGTACCCACAGTGACTTGAAACAAGTCTCAGCCTCAAAGATCTTGTTTCTCCATATGTAAGACGGGTCAGGATTTTGGTCTGCAGGGCAAAGGTGGGAATCATGATCATGTGACTGTGCTCTGAAGTGAAACGGGCTATAGATAGATAGAGCATCATCAATAGAGTTAGTTTCTCTCTCAGAAAGATTTTCAAGCTTCCAACAAAATGGTATTTTACCAAGAAGCTTGACAATACTAAATATGATTTAAGAAACAAACACTGCAGTAGTCTGAGAATCTTCGGCGTTGTCTGTGCGTTGACACAGACCAACCTGTGAATGTTACACAAGGCCTTCCCCCTTAGTTTTCTTGACTAGAAAACAGAGGGGATGTAGAATTTCTAAGGAATCTTCTAGGTCATGATTCGGTGACTCTTGGAAACACCATTTAAAAATTATGTTTGTCTTTCATCTGTAGAATGAAACATTATCTTGTGAGATAGTGCACGAGTTTATTTGATAATTCCTGTAAATTAGACTGTCACCTACATCAGAATTTTTGAACTGAAAGAGACATATTATTCTTCAAAAGGTCAAAGCAGATAGCAGGGTTAACTTGAACAAGTACCTTTCTGAAGGAAATTCAGCAGGGATGATCCGGTGCGTGTGTGTGTAAGCAAGTACATATGAGCATATGAGGGGATGGTGGTGGTTGAACAGGAGGGCACGACAGGTATTTAGGCTGTTCAAGGCTGTTACACTCATGTGATGGTTTGCTAGTGATGTGTGAATATGAAGTTTGGGCTGAAAGGTATAAAATCATCTGCAGTGATTAAAAAAAAGTGAGAAATATTCTGGGAAGGTTTTTGATGTAATTTATTTGAGGTAAAAGGGATTTTCTTAAGTGACACAGCAACTACCTAATAAAAATACAAAAACTTCCTAGTGATCTTTAAAATAAATACCTCAAAGTAAATTGCTTAAATATATTAGGCATTTGTAGAAAATACATAGTGATAATGTTCTGGGTATTAGCGTTTTTTTTTTTCTTTAATGCCTCAAAATAGGTATTTCATATATATCTTTTTTAACCATATCATCTACTTGTTTTCAGTTAATGTCATTTTTTTTTTAAAGATTTTATTTATTTATTTGACAGAGACACAGCAAGAGAGGGAACACAAGCAGGGGGAGTGGGAGAGGGAGAAGCAGGATTCCCCCGAGCAGGGAGCCTGATGCGGGGCTCGATCCCAGGACCCTGGGATCATGACCTGAGCCAAAGGCAGATGCCTAATGACTGAGTCACCCAGGCGCCCCTCAGTTAATGTCATTTTAAAATGTTACTCAAACAGGGGTGCTTGGGTGGTTGAGCTGGTTGAGCATCTGACTCTTGATTTTGGCTCAGGTCATGTCGTCAGCTCATGGTCATGGGATCGAGCCCCATTGGGGTCTGTACTCAGAGTCTGCTTGGGATTCTCTCCCTCTCCCTTTTGCCCTCCCCCCCCAACTCATGTGTGTGTACATGCGCTCTCTCTCTCTAAATTGAGTAAATAAAATCTTAAAAAAAAATAAAATGTTACTCAAAAATAAAAGACAAAGTAGGTCCACAAAAACAAAAATTTAGTGTGATATTTTAATTTTATTTAATATTATTTATTTATTTATTTATTTGAGAGAGAGAGAATGAGAGATAGAGAGCACGAGAGGGAAGAGGGTCAGAGGGAGAAGCAGACGCCCTGCTGAGCAGGGAGCCCGATGCGGGACTCGATCCCGGGACTCCAGGATCATGACCTGAGCCGAAGGCAGTCGCCCAACCAACTGAGCCACCCAGGCGCCCTAATATTATTTCTTTAACTTAGTTATATATACATCCTCAAAGTCCAACCATTAAAATATTCTCCTTAAGCTAGCTTAACTCTTTCAAAAATCAATGATCTGAAATTTAACTTTTGGTGTAATGTCGTAAAAAGAGAAATGGAGAAACTGTCCTTAAAAAAAATACAAAAAAACAAAAACCAAAAAAACCCCCAACTGTTTATCACCGCAAATTATTTAGGAGGAAAAGTTGCTTACTGTGTCATGGACTCTGAGCCCAGTCTGAAGCCCGGGGACTTGTCCTTAATGACTGGCTGCTGCGAAAGAAGAACAACAATGGGTAAGAAATGACTCGGTGAAGACAGTGCAGGCAACAGTCAGAACCTGCTGAATGAGAGCATGCCTGTCCTGAACATAAATGGCTATCAGCATCATGTATTCCCTCCGATGGAAAACCAAGGAACCGGTTCTCCAGATCATCTGAGCACTCTATACCTGAAGTCAGTTTTCAGGTATGTGGCAAAGACATCAGGTGTGAATCAGTCTAAATTAATCTAGAAATACTATATGGAGATAGCTTAAGTTCGAAATTTATCTTTCATCACTACAGCTTTCTTTCCTCATCTTTTTGGTACACTTTATATTTTCATAGTGATGATCACCATGGAGCTACATGTAAAATTTTGGATCTGAAAACTCAGTCTTGTACAAAATTTGTTCAGTATGTATTTTATTAATGGCACCTTCCTGAGGAAAACAAATTAATAAGTGCTTCCAGTGATGCGAGATTATACTGAGTGTCTTGTTAGACGTTCCTCTGGAATTCGAGCATTAACTCCAGATCAAAGTATACTGTGGGAAAATGGTTTTTGATAATCACGAAACAGTCTTTATAAATCAACCCAATGTCGCTATAAAACTGACTACAAATGTTTTTTGAGAGATAATTACATGTTATGGAAAGAATTCATTTAAAATTCACACAGAAAATATACAATGTTCCTACATTAAAGTTTTGAGTTACATACAAATGAAAGGGATACATTATATCTACTTAATTATTTAAATTAAAAAAAAAACTTCAGAAAACAAAAAACCAAAATGAAATGAAAGAAAAGGAGTATAACCTTTTCTTTCAGGCTTAAGTTGTTTGAGTAAGTATTACTTTCCCATTCTTATCTTTCCTGTAGCTTGTTTTGCTTTGTAGATTTCCTCCTCCACAATCAGATTTCTGTAAGATTTGGCACTGAATATCTTAAAACAAGTATTACTTATCATAAAGATTTCAAAAGGATATTGTTTTCTGGATCATAATTATGTCGTATTATTGCTCTCTGTACAGCTTTAAATCAAGCATATCATAAAAACAAGAATAAAAGGACAAGAAGACTTGGTGGTGAAAGGTAGATGTTGTAGCAAGTGACCCAATTTCACAAAACAACAAAAGAACTAGTAACACCTTGATTTTTCTCTACCGGTGAAGATGATCTGACTCAGTTCAAATGTGTTTGGGAAAAAAAGTACAAACACATGAAAAACTCAAAATCAAGGACTAATTCAGATTGCAGAACAGTCTACCTGCCCTCAACCCAATAGAGCAAGAAGCAAAGAAAACCATCAAAATCTAAACTCAGAAAGCATCAATTACAATCAAATTTCTTTAGTTTTCCCCCGCACTTATAAAATAAATTCCAAACATAGCAATCAAATTAATTTTATATTTTACATGGTCTAAGTATTACTTCTATCTCTTTGCCCATGGCAAGACCAATGTCTTACCGCAAATGTATGTATAATGTGTGAAACTTTGTTAAAACTCTGGATTAAAAAAAAAAAAAACCCTCAACATAACAACTCTAATCAGAATCTGAACCTACTGCAGAGGTTGAGGGAAGAAAAGTCAGACACTTATACATCACTGTTAAGTCAATGTTACTTTTAATTATTTGTGACCTTGACAAATGAGTAACAACATATTGCCACATGTAGGTCTTATGGAACTGCTTTCAATAGTCTGTTCATGTGCAATGGATGCTATCATGTCCTCAAAAAGTTTGTCTTAAGTGGGTTTAAGTGTCCCTGCCACCTTTCCTACTGTATTACTGTGTTACAGTAACTGGTACATTCAAGTCCTTTTTCATGATGCAAAGGTGGCTTAACTTGGGTTCAAATCCTATGAATCTCAAGTTAACAGGGTATCCACATTACAAAGTTTTAACACTTATTTGTTAAAGGACACTTATTTAGTTCGGACCGATATTCCACTTCTCAACACCTTTACTCACTCATTCCTTGGTCTCAGCAGCAGCACGCCACATGGGTAGTTACTCATGGAGGCAGAAGGAGGGGGAAGAAGGAGGTGTCTCTGTGAGCTGTTTTGTTTCATTTTCTCTTTTAACAAAAAGCCGCAAGGCTACAGTACAATCAGACCATAAGCACCCCCCCCCCTTCAACAAGGCCAAGGAGCATGACCGCCCTTCTTTCCCTCCTGTCCACGAACACCTCTCAAAGTTCTTTGGGACTTCGTTTCCTCTTCACAGACACCCTTGATTCGGAGAGGAGGGGATGAAGAGAGGAAGATGAGCAAAGCAAAGGAGATGAATGGAAGGACCCGAACCCAGAGGCTCCTGCTTCCCAAACCCTCACAGCTTCTCCGCGATGCTGTTAGACTTAGACGCAGTGAGACTTAAACATGAAAGGAATGATTAATGGCATGATTTTAAGTGCCCCCACTGATTATGTGGAGATTCACCAGGAAGAAAACAACTCATAAATAGCTTTGTAAAAGAGAAATGGGCCATGCAGACAACTCACCCAAATATTTCTGTGAACTTGAGGAACCAACGTCAAATTAAGCAAATGTTCAATCAGTGTCGGCTGTAGCTAGCATACCAGTGAGCTTTAAATAAGGCAAACTTAGGATAGGATATAGTATAGCTCTATATTTACATGCTGTTTGTAATACCTTCTAATATCTTCTACCTTGCCCATATGATTAATATCTATAATTTACTTATACCCGCTTTTCAGGATTTTTTTTTAAAAAGAGGGAGAGAAAAACCACCACCGCCAGAGCTGGTGGCTAAGTTCCAGTCTTGGTTCTGTCATTAACTTTCTGTGCAGCCTGAGCACAAGCCACTTAACTTCTCTTGGGATCTGTTTTTTACTTGAAAATGAACAGACGGCGCTCAGAATAAAAGCATGAATGACCATAGCACCATTCTTGTATTTTACAGATGAGGAAATGGAGGCCCAGAGTCATCAAGCTTACAGAAGTAGCCTGAAGGCTACAATTCTATTTTTTCAAACTGATTTAATGACAAAACTATTTTTCAGAACAATTTTGCATGAAAGGCTCATATATAAACCCTTAAGCGTAGAATTACTCTAGGTGAAGCTAGGTTTGGTGGCCTGGCAAGCCCTGTCTTCCCAGCCCTACTCCCCAGAGCCCTAAAGAGTAGGGGTCTACAGAAGAAGAGTTTATAGACCACTGGACTAGACAAGCGCTTCCAGATTTCCTCTGTTGCTAAAATTCTGTTTCCAGGAGCACAATTTTACAATTTTATATATTCATATCAGTTTGCTGTTGATTCTTTGATGTTAGTATTACTGATGATGTGAATTGTATTTGATGAATTATAATGCTTTTCCTTAAGGACAAAATAGTCCCCTGCATGAAGACGCAGTTTCTAGAAGTATATTAAAACAAAAAGCAAAGGTCTTCATCTTGGTTCATGGTTTGTAGTTTTTGGTACTGACTGTGCCAATTAAAACAACAACAGATATTTATGAAACCCCACTCTGTGAGGCACTGTGCTAGATGTCCTGGGGGTACAAAGCTAAGTAGACTGTACGAAAGAGTCTATGATCCAATGGGGAAAGAGGTGGATACAACCAGCAAGGCAGAAGGGGATAAATGTTATGATGAAGGTAAAAAGAAAATATATTGAAATAAAGGAACAGTAGCCTTGAATTGTAACTTGAGGTTTTTGAGAAGGATTCACAGAGGAGGGAGCATTTAGCAAGATCTTAAAGAGACGAACTGAAATTCTGGTAACTGGAGAAGCACAAAAAAACTAAGTAATTCAAGGAAACAGGGTGAGCAAAGGTTTGAGGAATGTGTGCTGGGCAGCCTACTCAGGAGGTTGTTTTAGAAGATGAAGAAAAGTAGGTCAGAATTCAATTCAATCTTCAAGGTATGGGATCTAGAGATAAACATTTACAAGATTCGGACTTTATAGACAAAGGTAGAGCCAACTATAATTTCTGAGCTGGTAAGTCACATGACTTGATTTCTATTTTAGCAAGGTTTCTCCTCTGCGGTAGGCAGGGAACAGGGGCATTAAAGGCTGGAGGCTGGAGGATGGAGTGGTGCCTGGGTGGCTCAGTCGTTAAGCATCTGCCTTTGGCTCAAGTCATGATCTCAGGGTCCTGGGATGGAGCCCTGCATTGGGCTTCCCGCTCGTCAGGAAGCCTGCTTCTCCCTCTCCCACTCCCCCTGCTTGTGTTCCCTCTCTCGCTGTCTCTGTCAAATAAATAAATAAAATCTTAAAAAGAAAAAAAATAAAAGGCTGGAGAATGGAAGAGCGAAGACTGCTGGAGGCAGGGACCAGGGGGCCATTTCACGGCAATATCCTTCCCGTGCTTTCTCCTCTCAGTTCACTCTCTAAAAAAACTGGCATCCCTAATACCTTCTGCCCTTTGTCCTTTCCATTCTTTATATTCCTCTGTTCCCATGCATTTAACCAGTGTGTTTAGGCTAATGACTTCCAAATCAAAACCATGAAACCAGATCTCAAGTTGTCTTCAAAATGATTTGGCAATCACCACTTTTCAGCACCTTTTGTAAACACAATTTTTTTCTGAAAACACACTTAGTTTCACCAAAACTACCTAGCAAGTCTGAGTTTTCAGCAAATGTCTCCTGAGTTCCCTGGATGCCTGCAAGATATCTGCCAACTTTGCAAGTCTCAAACCGAAGTGTTTCTCATACTCTTTAACATGCCGAGACGCTCAAATCAGCAACCCAGATTTCTCCTTTACTTTCAGATGGATTTAGTCACCACGCCCTAGTGTCTCATTGCGTTGGGCTCAGATTATTGCAAGAGCTTCTCCTGCGTAGTTCCTTCAGTACTGCTTTTTTCCAGTTTTTTTTTCAGAGCTTCTAAGAGTGAGCTTTTTTGGTTTTTTAGAGATAGTGAGCGAGGGGGGTGGGCAAAGGGACAGGGAGAGAGACAGAGAATGCTAAGCAGGCTCTATACCCAGCACAGAGCCTGATGTGGGGCTTGATCTCATGACCCTGAGATCATGACCTGAG